TTTAAAGGGTACTCCTTGTGTTACAGCTTCTCCTGCCTAGAGAATAGGTGTGAGAAATACCTTTGGAGCCACTCCCCAGGGCAGCTAGTGGAGAAGAGGAATCACCATGTGCACCACAGCAGAGCCCAGATGCACATGTGTGGGTGTTACGGCATGGGTCAGGTATGCCTTTGGAGTCAGCTGTGTTTTCAGAGGGCACAGAGGCAAACCTGCTCCAGGCAGCACCTGTGCTGTGGCACTGGCTGGAACAGGGCAACCTCTGCTGTCCCCTCATCCACACAGCTAGTCATTTCATTAGGAAAGGCAACCAGGCTGGACAAGCACATGATTTCCTTTTGGGAAGTCTATGCTGACTATTCCAATCATCTTCTGTTCCCTCCAACGCTTGGCAGAGCACTTCAGCTTTTTCTGTATTTTCTGTCATTATATTGTTTTCCCTTCCATTCATCAGTTCTTCCCTTCATCAGATCTTGCCTTCATTTTTGAAAGTAGCATACCTGCAGAATCACTCTCTTTGCCTTTTGACCCTTGTAAATCTTAGGTCAAACCCATCACCTTTCTGATTTTGTCTTTAAGTAGTCAAGCAATGCTTGTCTACATCTTGCATTTTAGGTTATCAGAAAGCTCTTTGCTCAGGCAAGAAGGCATTCTGCTGAATCCCTCTCCTTCCTGGTGGTTCATTCCTGAGTTCTCCATGTTTCCTTTACAAATCTGTCTTTCATGGACCCTGCGTCTCTGTGGCAGCATCCCAAGAGATTTCACTTAGCAAGTCTGCTCTTCTGAAGTCTACAGTCATAACTTGCTGACTGTATTTCCAGAGTTCTTTTGAATCACGAACTGAACCAACTCTTGGTCATTCTCATCTCAGCTGTTATTACCACCTTTGCCATGAGGTCTTCCCTTTTCATAAACAGCAGGTCAAGTAGGGAATTATTCCTGTTTCCACCCTCTAGCAGCATTAGGAAACTGTCAGCCACACAATCAGGGATTCTTCTGCATTGCCTACACAACTCTTTAATCTTACTAGACACTAAGACAAATAACTTAACTGCAGAATTATGATGATTGTATTGATACAGTCACTTAGAATATAGCTTTTATCTGCTTTTGATCCTACATTCTACTAACCTGAAGTTGTGGAGTTTTATTTCAACTTCAAAAAGTGAGAATTTTAAAAATACAGGAAATCAAAGCTTCCATTCTGAATGTATTTAAAATGAATGCAACAAAAAAAAAGGTAAATTATGTCATCACTGACATAATTTTTGATCAATAATATACAGAAATTATAAAAGTTCAGTAATTAAAAGACAACATTCAGTGTCATTAAAACTTGTGTCTGAAGATCATTGTTACTTCTGTATCCCTTGTGCTCAGAGTAAGTTATTTCTTCCCCCTAGTTTTATTAAGTAGAAGTTATACTAAGGTTTTTTTTTTTCAGACATAGATTTAATATTAGACAAAAAAACCCCAAGTTTTTATTATGAAAAACATTTATTTTGTTAGGCAAAATACAAGGATTTAGGTAAAAAAACTTAGAACTGGAACAAAAAACAAAACAAAACAAAAAACAAAACAAAACAAAACAAAAAAAAAAAAAGGAAAGCAAGAGACAGTGGACAAATTGAGTGGAATGTTCAATCACTTAAGCTTTACAGCTAGATTCATTATAGCAAGTTAAAAGAAAACCTGCCATCAGCCTCACTTAAATCATTCATACAAAGAAGTATGAAATTGCAAAAGCATCTTATAGTGAAGAAGTTACTGTTCCAGATATTTTTAGCTGGCACAAAAAATCTGCCGGAAGTGTTGCCATATTATGATTACATAGGTAATAAATTTCCTTATGTGATCACCATGCAAATTAGCCCTGAAAATCTATTATAGCAAGAACCAGGTATTTTTAATGAATAACACTGCAGTAGTTTGCAATCATCTTAATTATAAAAAATTATGTGAGGAAATTGAATTATAAATGCTGCAATCAAAGGATCTATAGTTTTCACTAAAATTGTCTACAGGATAATTAACTTCTCAAGAGATTTTAAGGCTTCCTAAACTGGTCAGAAACAAAGGCTTTCCAAATATCTTCTTATTTTAATGGCAGATTCATCAGCAAATGCCATGGCATTGTACAGAGGGTCCATCCACTCTTCTCAGTTTTTAACTGTGAAGATGACTGTGAGAATTAATTGTGGTATTTTCAATAGCCACACTTGAATCAATAGTCAATAATTAGCTACAGGCACATTTAAAAATTAAGAAAGGCTCAATGTTGTTTAAGAGTTAAACAGTTTGGTTCTGAAGGTCAAAGCTTCTTAGTGACTGTAATCAGAGGAGAAACCTGGTCTCTGGCTCTTGCTTAGATGCCTCTCAGATGGTGCTGTGTGATACATGTTGTGAGGGAATGCAGTGGAAGAAGTGCCATTTTTCTTATGATTATATTAATTTTATCTTTGTGCTTTTGTATTCTGGGTATTAGTGTAGCATATAAGCTTTTACCATTAATATAATTAAGTCCTATTCCTTTTCAACAGGTTGATGTAAGTACTTGTTTAGAACAAGATTTTCATCCGATTTGCTCTGTTGCATTCAGTTTATTCCTACTACTCAACACCTTTATTTCTGCCAGTGCCACAAGCCTTCCACAGAAAGTCATGCTTGTAGAGTCACGAGAAGTCCACAGAGGACCTTCATTATACAACACTCTAATCTGGAAATCCAGACAGGAAGAATAACGTAGGACAGAAGTATTTCAGAGAACATACACAGCTTCTCTAGGCAATCTTCCCCACCCCCCCATTTATACAAAATGGATATCTGTGTGAATACCTCAGTCAAGAGCCAGACTGTCAGTATTTGATTTTACTGTCAGGAGCTAAATGAGCAAAATTAACTTGTTTAAAAACAAACTAAAAAATCAGGATAGGAATACATCTTTCTTCCTGAAAAGATCAAAAAGACACACTAATTTCATACTAATTAATTTCAATATATATCCTGCACAGTTCTTTGAGAAAATATGCTTTCTACTGGATACCTACTCAATTAATGGGCTAGGACTGTCATTGCCTTCTCTTTTATGACTTTTTTGTTTGTTGTTGTTGTTTTTTGTTCTTGGTTTTTTTTTTTTTTTCTTTTTTTTTTCTTTTGGTAGAAGTAATTAAAAAGATAAAATCAGCTACATGGAACACAAGGAAACATAAGACTGTCTAAAGATACTTCTTCATTACCTTGTAGGTCATCCAGATGCTTAAATGGTCTTTTAATTCTCAGGGTAGCTTTACTCCTTTCCCTGGATTACTTCCTTCACTTTCCATGACTTCTTGGTCTCCTTAGCTATTATATACTTTTCGGGATGCTTTTCTTTTTTCCCCCTGTTTTTTAACCTTGCCAACTCTTTCTCAGTAATAATGGTGTTGACATCTCATTGTCAGAAGAAAAGAATTCAGCACTACAAGCTTATTGACAAAGCTTTCACCATTGTAATCCAGATACTATTGGCATTCTTTCTATGTAAAAGCATTTTAGAAATTATGAGGCCTGTACTAGCTTGATGAACAATTCAATGAAATCAATGTTTTAACTATTAATTAAAGTAAGAAGCTCATTGGAACTCTTTGGAGAAAATTCATCCTAAATGAATGTCTTATAAGTTGAAGGAAAGCAATGTCAGTTTTGCATCCTCAATCAAAACAAAGGAGAAATTCTTTTAACCAAAACAGGGAAGCAAGGTGTGGTTTCCATACATCTATGTCCTGATTAAACACTGCATCATGATTTTGTTACTCTGAATCCGTCTGATCCAACAAGTTAAGCAGCTTGAGATTGCAATCATATGGAACAAGAAAAATGAAATGCAAATTAGCAAGTCTTAAAGCTGATGAATACATAAGTGGATGAGATTCTTTTGCTTGAGATACTCAGGAGGTCAGGTTAGATGATGAGAACAGCCTCCTTCTAGCTTTAAACACAAAGAATTTATAAATACTGAAGCAAAAATTAATTTTTTTAAAAAAATAATTTATCTTTTTTCTGTGGCACTAGACATTATAAAGAGGGTTTATTTTACAAAATTAACAAGTTTTCTTCCAACTGAATGGTAGTGCTCTTCAAACAAAAAGATAAATGCACACAGTCTCACCAGTGACATTCAGTGTTGATCTAACACAAGGCATAAAAGAACCCTCCCAGCAGTTTCCTATGTGTCGTTTTACCTGGAAGTCAACTACATAGATATAATTCTGCTGCCGTACTTCCATACAGTAACTATTCTTTTGCAATTAATAATAATAAAGAAATATTAGAAGTAATTTCTAGGGACATTTTGTTGATATTAACATCAAAGAATCCCTTTATAAATAGGTATCAACTGCCACTGCATAAACAGTTTCCTTTTAACCTCTATGCTCTCACAGTAGACTTTCATAGTATTGCTCTAATGGTTAAGAAGCTTTTTCCAGTTTCCCTCCTGTATTTGTATGCTGCCAGTCTATACATTTTCTTTTTTTTTTCCCCATAGTGTTTAGTCTCCATAACATTTACCTTTCAATCTGTGTGCACAGAGCAATTACAGGCTATTTCAGCCTCACTTTCACTAAACTAAACTAAACTAAGCTAAGCAAGCGGGACCTTTCAGAGCGTAGTGTCACCGACTGGTACAAACACACATATAGTCCCTCCACCCATACATGCAGCGAACCAGAGGAGTCACGGATCCTAAGATATCCTAGTTGTGGTAAGAAGCAGAAAATTCTGCTCAGTGCCAGCCACGTTGTTTACAAACTAGTGTAGGATTGCATCCAGACAACATGGACCTCAGGTCAACATCTATTTGTGTCATCTTTCTCTCAGTTATTTTCATATCTGTAACAGTTTCAACTTGAATTCTCTTAAACATGGGTGAAAAGAACTATATACCATATTCTATTTGAGTGAAAGCTTCACCTACATGCTTTGCAATTGTCATGAAAGGCAAGAAATAAAGAGAAACATCTGACCTGGTGTAGTCGTCCTCCACAAGCATGTGCTTTGGAATGGGTGAGTATCTTCCCGGTGAGATAGGGGCCAGGGATGCCTTGTACTCTAAAGTGCCATTGTTTCCAGAAGAGAGTATATGATTTTCCATTGGTGGAGAATAAGCTGATGGTAAGAATAAGCATTTTTAGTTAGCCACTTACATGTTTGATTTGATGTTGCATGACACCATTTTTTAGTTAGGTACCAAGAATGTGCTCATTGCCGTAAATAACATTAAAACACAAACCTTTCCATAGAGAGTTTAAAATGAAACAAGAAAGAATGAACAGCTGGAGTTTTCCTGAGAAGTTACTACTACTCCTGCTCCTACTTCTGCTACTATTACTACTTCTGCTGCTGTCTCAGTATCAAGGAGTAACTTTTTAGAGGGGATCTGAATAAAAGACTGGTTTGGGAGACAGGAAACATTTTCTTCAGTTAGGACTGAATTGAAGAAGGAAACGTAAATAGGAGAAAATGAGATTGAAAGCACACTCCTTCTTTTTGGCTCCAATATACAGCAATGGGAGCAATATAGTGAGAGCTCAATGCAGGGTAAGTAGGAATTTTAAATATGGAAAGATTTATGTATAGCGATGCTTTCTAGCAGTGATCTACTAAGATGCCAAAATTCCTGATCTAACTGAAATTTGAGTACCAACATAGATGGTATTGCAATCACAGTAAAGCTGCATATTTAAAATAGAAAGTAAATACAAGTCTCTTACATATTAACAATTAGTCATGAAAATTACAGGACTATGCTGTCCGATTCTAAACTCAAGTCTGTGGGTTTTGTTTGCTTGCTTTTTGCTGTTCTGAAGTTACTGGGGATATTCACGACTGGACAGATGTAATGAAAGTTGTATTCAATCTCTAGTTAATGTAATTAGAAAAGGAAATTATAAATAGGAAAAACGATGATACATGCTTTTGCAATGAGCAACGATCAATTTTCTTGTGAGAAGAAGACAGTTCAACTTTCTAGCATTAGTTTAAGTTTTCAAATGCTGAGATACAGAATGTTTCAAAGCAAAATATCTCTACAGGGAAAGGCCATTATCTATTCCAAAATATTCTGAACGTGTAGGTATAATGAAGTGTTCCCTGAGGACAGATGAATCTGTATGCACCAACAGCCTAGGATGGGCTACTGCAAATCTGTTCAAGCTCTGCTCTCCTTCTGGAATTACTTCTGTTTTCTTATATGCTGCTGATCTATAATCTGACATAATAAACCACACTGTTTTAGAACTCTCAAATTATTATTTTGGAAAGTATTAAAAAGCAAGAGATTGGATAGGGACATTTACAATTTTTAGTTGGATTTTGCTAAGATCCAGACCAGACTGCTACTGAACAACATGACTGCCATCTAATGTGGTATTTGCTAACTAAATAGGTATCCTCAGCACAGTTGAGTATACCAACTGACATGCATGTTAGAAAACATTCCCTTTTATTTTTATGGAGCAGTCTGAAAGGAGGATTATGGTTACTTAGCTTTTCCCTCAACTTTGCCAGTCCACAGTAGAACCACTGTGCAAAACTGCACAAAAAAAATTTAAAACTCTAGCATTTCCTGTGGAAATCTGTACTTCCCAGCCCTTCACTGGCCTTAAGTGCCCCTAGGATTATTGGCATGAGATCAAGATGGGCATGAATCAGTTGCTGAATCTCTTGTCAAAAATTTAACTGCCACGCAGTGGTTAGATAGTGCAGCTGGTCCCTAATGGTAGTTTAACCCAAGGCAGACAGTTTTAAATGAACAACTGAATGAAGAAAAGGAGTTTCTATAATGAACTGTTCAGACTAACAGGCACCACTGGTATAGAGAGCTGCAACTGAAATGTTAAGATTGTTGTGAATGAACAGAGAAGGAACAGTAATTCCTTGGTATGGACACAGGAGGACTGGCAGGAGTGAAACAAGAATGTATATCTATTGATAGCACCTAGATTCATCAATAAGTCAACATAACTATATGTAACTTGTCAGGAGAGCCCACACCCCAACTAAAACAAAGACTCAAGACATTAAGACATGAAAGCAGAAGATAAAGTCTGGGTTGGAGCCTAGGACACACAGATAAGGAGACAAAAGAGAAGTGAGTAAAGAAACACATAGGTGGGACAGATGGGAAAGACAGAAGATTCTAATTGCTGTCATCTCCTTAAGGGTACAAGAAGCACGTCAGCAAGGAGCTTGTCACCATAAGAAGGCATATGTGTATGATAAGGACTCCACAGCCATCCACCCTTGTATTCGGACATCTCAAGGAGTCCTGGCAATGCACCTGGATGCACATCTCTCTACCTAAATGCTGAACGTGAGCCTAGATGATTTTGAGTGTCTGGACATGACAGTTTGATTGAAATGACTTTGTTTTAAAATAAAATCATTATCCCTTCCTATGAGATCCTTTACTGAACTTTGCTATGTTGTTTTAACAGCTCTTCCTACAACTGAAGGTACGTTGAATGCCATGACAAATAAGCCCTTCGTCCTCAGTGACAGAATAGCAGGTGAACATATAGAGAGTTAGTGGACAGACTAAGAATAAAGCAAAGTGGAAAATAATTTTGGAACTGCATATACACAGAGAATAGGTAAATTTTTATAAGAAGGGCAGTGATTTTTATGTTTCATGTCAGTATTTTATTTTGATATGATATATATTTGCCACAGGCTTTCCACTGAATTTGTACAAGATGGTTTGCTGCTTGTTCCAATTTTTCAATGGACAGAGGACTCCAGTCTACAAATATAATCATATTTCAAACTGTATTTGCATATACTTATTACTGTAATTGCCACAAGAGTTATAGCTCAGTCTGATCACCAGGACAATGGCAAATTAGAAATAGCACAGCAGTACATCAGTTACATTTTGACTATTGTTGCAAAAATACTCTAGCAGAGTTATATTATTTGTAGTATTTCGCAAGTGTAGCATATGGAAGTGGAAATAAACATTTCATTTTTGTCGCCTTCCAAGCTGTTTCATAAACTTTAATGGGGTACTTTGGACAAGCTATGAAAAAAAAACACATTCGTCCAACAAACCCACACCTCCTACAAAATGAGTTGCTGAAGTCACTTACAGTGAGTAATATCTGGTGGGCCATATGGATCGGTCATGTAAATGGTGGTGGGCTTTCCAACTTTCAGATACACTACATCTGATGTGTTCTTCAGTATCGCTACTGCCTCTTCATGGGTAACTTCTTCTAAACTGTAATTATTTACCTTAAAGGAGAAATCAAACAGGTGAGTCAGAAAGCAGAAATAGATACAAAAAGTGACACAGCCTTGCAGTTTCATAATGTTCAGAAAAAAGATGCAGACAAAGAGCACTGGAGATTGCAGAAGCTGTATTGCAGCAAGGTTTACAGTTTTCTTACGACATTCATATTTATACTGCCAGGTCAGTGTTGATATCACAGAATCATTATGAGTTGAGATGGAACTTGGTCTTATCAGTAGAAAAGTCCTTTGTGATATTTTGCTATCAGTATCATCATTAATATAAAACTATAATTAATGACAATTTAATGACTTAATACCACACCATTTACAGAAACTGCTTATGTTATTTGACTTGTCAAGATTAACTGTCCACAAAATTAACCTCCTCATATGCATGTCTGGGACCTCAGGAGTACTTAACACCTCCAAATCTTTCTATCCCTGATATAACATTGACCAGTGAAATAACAAGATCTATAAAGTGGAATACAGAATAAGAGGATGCTGATGAGGCACGGGAAATTGAAAAGAGCACTTCTGGATGGGGGAAAAGGGATTTTCAGTGTGAAAGTTAGTTGTCTGGAAGCACAGGAAAAAGATATTGGAAAAGAGAATGTAGTACTAGTTTTGTGTTTTATTGGAAGAGAAAAATACTTCACAAGAGCAATGCTAAGAGTACAGGGTTACAGATTAAACAGGGAAGGAAATGGCGGCAGCAAATTTTGCCTATTTATGCTTTACTCCCAGAGAAAGAAAATCAAAACTGTCAGAAGTGCTTTATTGTAGAGACATATACAATTTATTAATGTATAAATCCGCTATATCCACAGAAATTCAACAATAAATTGTCCTCCTATAAACAGTAGTAGATAGTCCCTGCCCCAATTAATATACATCCTGAGTGGAGAAATCATAGGATAGAGGAGAGAAGTAAAGAAGGGTTTATATGTGATGTAAGCCAACAGAAATTACAGAATCATAGAATCATAGAGTTGGAAGTGACCCATAAGGATCATCAAGTCCAACTTCCTGCTCCTCACAGGACTACCTAAAACTAAATCATATGACTAAGAGCGTCATGCAGACACTCCTTGAACTCTGAGAGGCTTGGTGCTGTGACCACTTCCCTGGGGATCCTGTTCCTGTGACCTACATTTCATAGTGAATGTTGTATAAGAAACAGTTTACTGTGATATAAAGTGCTATCCTCCAGCTTCTACAGTTACTGCAATAATTCCTTGTAAAAATTACACAAAGTGGAAGAAAAAGTAGCTCCTCGCCTATAATGTAGCATACTACAGTTGTAAATCACAGGAAAAAAAAACATACTCAGTAGGGAATTTAATATCAGTAAATGACCAGACATGCAGCTGTGACAAGCTACTCTGAAAGGGTTTGGCCACTGGAAAGAAACCCAGCTACTGTGAATCACTAGAGGACTCTTCATAACCAGGTCACTTCATCAACATCAAGGCAGAATGATTGCTATTGAACAGTACTGCTAAATGCAAGGCTGCCCTTTAAACTTTGTCCCTTGTACAAACTTGGTATAAAGGTTAACTGAAAGAGGCAGAGACTGGCATGTTATGACAATTTGACATTAAGAGCAATGATACAACCTCGCACTCAGAAGAGAGCTGCTGACACTGGATGTTGTATTTTGACAGATCTGTTTAAATAAAAATCTGATATCTATCTTCTATAAATTTCTCTGTTTATTATGAACAGCAGTTACTTAGATATGCACTTTTAATAAATGCCTTTTAAATCACTATTCTGACAGCAAGAAGAAGTGACTGAAATTAAACCTTTCTTGTTTATATATTTAAAAACTGCCAAATACTGAAAATTCACACTTTTGGAAATATGACTGCACAGTTGTCCTTTACCTTTTCTCCTTCCCACACTGTCTGTATATTGTATTTGTCTTGTGTTCCATACTTACTTCAAGATTTCTTGAAAAAAAAGAAAATCTCACATAATAACCTCCCACTATAGTGCTGCTGTAAATAAATGTTCTTAGTCAAAAATAAGACACAAAATGAAACATCACTATCTGGATTTTTACTTTTTGGGGTTTTTTTTAGGAATGCATAAAAATAATTAAGACACAAATTGACCTGTTGCAATTTAAGACACGAAATGAAACATTATTATCTGGATTTTTACTTTTGGGTTTTTTTTTTTAGGAGTGTATAAAAATAATTGAGACACAAATTGACCTGTTGGAATTTTTTTCCCAAAGTTGTTTTTCCTAAAAATCTAGCTAATAAAACTGATGGTTAATACAGTTGTACTTCCATCACAACACAGATATGACAGTTGTGCAGCTGAAGGATAAACAGGTCATTTAGAAAAACAAATAGAAAACATAATATGATACGTATAAAACTTAATTTGCCATGACAAGTCCTACTTCTTATCTCTCTGACAATAACTTTACAGGACAGGAAAATTAAAAATCTTCTTGTAAAATTGAAGATGAAGAGATTCTAAACTAAGAATTAATATCTGAGCAGTTATGCATTATGGCTATCTTTATACACTTTAAGATCCTAGAGATCATTGCAAACATTACGCAATTTTTTTTTTTTTCTCCTTACTAGTACATATCAACTTAAGAGTGCAGAATACTGTGGAAAATTGAAATATACAGAGCTGGAACTTGAAAGAAGGTAATGCATGAGTGAAAGCAAGATACAAAGGTGAGTTTCAGAGAAAAGATGCTGGAAGAAAATTTTAGAAGGAAAAACCCTTCAAAGTAAACAGAGTTGTGCTATAAAAAGCATTCCAAGAATGTATGCCAAAATTGCTATTCAAAATAATCCCAAATATATGGAAAATGAAGAGATTTGTCATCTCTAGAGAGAAAACTCCTAGAAAAGAAGTTTGCTACTAATTAATTTTCTCCTGCACTTGTCATTTCTCAGTAAACAAAGAAATACAGACAGACTCAACGTACGTCATGAGCAAATAAATAGGTAAACAAATATTAATTCATTAAGACAAAGATTTTCAGTGCTGCCATAAGGTCTCATCTAAATGGCACCTCTTTGCGAAGGAAATGAAACAACTTTCTTTAGTCATTACCAACATCAATTTAGAATTACAGCATACCAAATACATTATGCATTGCCCAATTTCTTTCAAAGGGTAGTCCTTGCTTTGGGCCCACAATTCTGTTAATATTAATATGTGCACATATCAATATCTTTTTTACAATTTCATCATAAGACAATGATTACAATTAAAGACATCTGCATCTATTCTGATATAAAGAAAAAATGAAAACCTGAATATATTGAAGAATTATACTGTTCAGCTCCCTAGATATTATAGCAAGATGACTGTAGTATAAATTTTTTTTTATAAGGAAATCTCTGGATATCATTCTTCAAAACATCATGCCAGAGATGGTGATTATTAGGAAATACAATGCAAGTTTTTTTTATGGTAAGATTTATAGAGATAAGAGACTCTCTCAGGATCTCCAAGGGAGATTATTTCTTGAGCTTTTTCTTGTTTCCATAAAAGATGCCTATTTTAATAGAATTTCAAATACTAATCTGGCTTTTTCAGTGGTTGTGGCACAGTCAATACATCATAGCAAAGCTTTACTTCCTACTGTTGAGATGAGCTTAGCAGAGCGTATAGTTTGGAAAAAAAAAAGAGTTGAGTTAGAGGTAAAGAGTGGGAGATGTGTACAAAATATTAAAATGTATTATGGCATTCATCCTTGTGAGATGCTGAAAATTTGGTACAGAAGGACTAATACAAGAGCTGAGTGAGTAGAATGAGTACTGCATGCCAACCTTCTGGCTCTAAGAAGCCAACTTAGAGTAGAAATTAAGAGGGAAAAAAACCCTAAGGCAAATGCTAAAAAAGAAATGTGAGTGGCCAGTTTAGTTACAAGAGCTGGATGCTTGAGCCACAAAATGCTATGACAGGAACCCAAGGAGAGGAGTCAGAAGGAAAACAGACATGGAGCAAGTAGGTCTTTTCTAATGAGAAAAGATCCATATACAGAAAACACAGAAACACAAAAAGCATCTGAAATGGAAAAGAAATTAGGAAAACTGTTTCTTTAAATAGAGAGTATGTGATACAAAGACATACTCATGTATGTTACAGGAAAAGAATAAGAGGAAGAAATAATACAGCAATAAAGAAGGAAATTAAAGATACGAATCCAATCAAAGAAGCTACTCCAGTGATGGAGGAAATAAGTAAGAAATGTTGCCAAAGAGATATAAAAAGTCTGGGGTGGGTTGTTTCCTAAATAGCATAATCAATGCAATGAGGTATAAACCTAAGCAAGAATTATCTTATTTGGAAGTTTTCCTGGGTTCATATTGGAAACGAAGACACTGAGAAGTAGCTATAGAGAAAAGCTTAGAATCCCCAAAATGACTGTACAAGTCCTCTAAAGAATAACTTCATTCACAGCAGCATAAGCTGATAAGAGAATAAGAGGTCTGGAGGAATAAGTCTGTCTTATTTAATTTTCTTTATTTCAACAGAATTCCTTCCTTTCCTCTATTTATTTAGAGTGAGAGAGCCTTGATTCACTCAATGAATGAGACAAAGAGGTGATCTTTACCTTGCCAGGGGTAATGTTTGCTTTTGTGTAATATTCTACTTTTCATTCAGAGAGTGGATTTTTCTGAGTGAATCCTGAGTGAGCATTTGCTGGTAAATGTCTGCAGTGTGCCAGCTGTAAACCTAGAATGCTGATGGCCTTTTTAAAAACTCACCATGATTTAAAATGCAGTGAAAAGTGAAAGGTTTATCAGTGCTAAAGAACAATCATTTGTCCTAAGGGTTAATTCAGTTTTGATTAACTACTTAGAATCTCATGAGTTAGTTGGACAAGTGCTGGACTCTGAATAGAAGGAAACTGGCTATCTTCAGATGACACAGTCTGTTAAAGCCCCTAAGATTAGCTTGCTTAGATTATTAATAGTTTCAGGATAAGTGTCCTAAATCATATCTGCTCTTTGCAGAGAAATTACAAGAGTTTGTGCTTTGCAGACTAAGAAAATAAAACATGAGACTGAGCTTCAGGCTTCAACCAATGTAGTGCATACACAGTGCAAGTGGCACTGTTCTACACTGGCCCACCATTTTTCAATCACAATTTATACTGATTTTGGTTAAAAAACAAAGTTTTCAAGAACCAGATGAAAGTATCGATAGATGGAATAGATTGGGAAGGTTACTGCTTGGCTACCATACAAATGCCAAGCCTAGCAAGTCTGTGTTTGAATGCTAGATAAAACATTGCATGACCAGAGTCCATGACAGTGTAAATCTGGCTCAGAGCACAGCACTGCATCAGAAGGGGTACAGCCACCAAACCCCCACAGTAGCACAGGGTCTGGATTATAAGACTTTGATTCCATACATCCTTTTAGGGGGTCAGTTTGCATTACATCTAGTCTACTGAAAGAAATGCCTGTTTGTAACTGCAGTGCAATGCTAATTAGGAATGCTCCTGGATCACATTTTCCATTACAGTTTCATCTGAAAAATTCAATGTTTTTAAAAGACCATCCTACAAGACAGCCAAAGTCACTTTAAAAGAGCACTTCTGACCAGAACCAAATGCTAATCTAGATGGATCTTAAATTATATGCTCTGATTACCCTAACATAAACATGATCCTGCATCCACATACAATCAGAAAGAAACAGTTACCAGTAGGGGATCCTGTAAGGAACAAGGGTGCAATCACAACCCCACTGCAGCCCTATGAAACCACCAAACAATAACATGGGTTTTCCAGCACAGAACTGGGTAGCAAGCAAGCCTAAATTTCTGAAAAGGAAATTCACTCCTGTTTCTTCCCTCTGTTTACAGCAAGAAAAGAGAAACAAATTAAATCTCTTGATATGGTACTAACCACCTTTCCTGTAAGCATAAATAACTCTTCAAAAGTCTTATCTGTCTGACTACATAGGCCAAGAATCAACAGGATATAGCCCAAACATGCAAGGGAATTTTGGCATAGGAGACAAATTTCTAAAAAGCTATTACTTACAAGAGATAAATATTAGCTTACATTTTCTTTTAAAGAGTAATATTTTTAGCATTTTCCCAGAAGAGTACCTTGCTTCTAGCTATTAGTGTTGTTTTGTAATAGTAACACCACACAGTATTATGCTGATTTGTCATTTATCCATTCTAGAGATAAACTCTTCCAAAGTGAGATGATAGTATCAGATGAAAATACTGTCTGAGAGGTAACAATTTAAACCACTTTTCAGCTTTTCCTGATTATCATTAACAATGACCTGGAAGAGCTGAGGAGTGTGCTCTCATCACATTTGCAGATGACATTTCACTGTGAGGGTGAGCCAAAATACTCAAGGGCAGGACTGCCACCCTGGACGGGCTGGAGGAAGGGGCTGGCAAGAATTCCATGATGTTCAACAGGGAGGAACAGTGAGCCCTGACCCTGGCACAGGCTACCCCCTTCAATAGCACAGGCTTGGCACTGACAGCGTGGAAACAGCTTCATGGAAAAGGGCTCGGGGCTTGCGGTGGACAGCAAGCTGGGCGTGAGCCAGTTTTGTGTCCTGGCAGCAAAGAGGTCAACAGCATCCCGGGCTGTACAAGCAGGAGCAGAACTAAGAGGTATGGGGAAGGATTATTCCCCAAGAGCTGCCACTCATTAGACTGCAGCTAGATACTGCATTCGGTTTTGGTTCCTGCGCTATAGGAAAGATAACAAAATGGAGCAAGCTGAGGGGAGTGCTACTGGGATGGTTGGAGCACTGGCCTGGTGAAGGAGAAGCTGAGGGAACTGGGCTTTTTCAGTCTGGAGAAGGGGTGCCGCTGGAAGCAGACCCAGTGCTTACAGGAAGGTCATCAGGACAGAGTTAAGCTTTTCAAAGTGGCATGTGGATGAGAGACAGCAGGCGTATGTTGCAACAAGAGAAGGTCAAACAGGTTATAAGGCAAGTATTTTTCTCATGAGGACAGCCGACCTGTAGAACAGGTTTCTCAGAAAGTTTGGGCAATCTCCATCTTCAGAGATTTTCGAGATTCAGTTGGACAATTCCTAAGCAAGGTGGTCTGGGCCTATAGCAGACCCTGAATTATCATGTCAGCCTGTGATGCCTGGTGTGTGAGATGCTCTGTTCTCCTCCAGGGCAGAGAAGCAACCTAGCTGAGACAGCCAGTGCGGTCGTACGCTCACTGCAGCAGTACCACCAGAATACAAACATGGAGTTATTTTTGCCTAGCTGTAAGTCTTCAGGGCAGAGCTCTGGTCTGTTCCTTTCACATACACCTAGAAAAAACACTGAGTTGAGTTTTTGGCTTAAGCACTTTTATGGTTCCTCCAGTAATTTTCCTAATTGGCACTGAGTAGGATAATCCTACAATGGAGCATTTTCCTGTGCAAGTGCTCAGGACAATAAGTCTTAAGTGCAGGCTCAGTGCCACAGAAACATAACTGCATAACATGGCCTTGTATAGATTTCACAATAATCACAATGCTCAGTATTTACATGATACATTTTCTAAAAGCTTAACACTATTAGCAATTTGCATTTAATAACAATAGGATCATCAAGCTGCAAAATGATCAGATGGCACCTAAATGGTTTACGTTTCAGTGTTGGGTTTGATTTTGCAGCATCTCTTCTATTACAAAAAAAAGGAACAAGCTCCCCAATAGCTGCTGAGAATTCCAGAAGGATGACAAATTCCATTCGATTTTTAAAAAAAAGGAAGTGTTCAAATATATAACCAGTAAAGCATCAGTGAAGTAGAAAGAGAACCATATAGACGGCACAGGTAATATTTTGTTGTTACACTGCCAAAAGAAAGTAATGAATTCTTTCACTCACATTTCACAAAGGAACATGAAGTTAATGCCATCAACTGACAGATACTTCAGAGAGTAGAAGAAAAAAATAATGAAGGTACACAAGTTACAGAGAAATGAATGTGTCTTGGAGAGAATCAGAAAATATAGCTGTAATCTGCATTAATTTTAGAAGTAGATTTTGATTTTGTAAATTTATCTTTGAAGATGTAGTGGTTAACGTATAGAAAGGTTAAGTTGACTAGGACTTTCTTATACAACAGTAAAAGCTTGGTCTGGAAGCTTTTTAATTAGAGGAGAACAGTATTATGATTGTGGGGTTTTTTGTTCATTTTACATGCAGTGATAAAAGATGATGGTAAGTAAAGAAATGGTCCAGAGTGAAAGTAAAGCAGTGTAAAGACATCAAACACACTGAGAATGACCTCTGCTCATTTCCAGAAGTCAGATTCAGGAACACAAACTTGTCACAATGAAGGAACACATATATCTGACTGCAGTGAATCACTGGTTCAAGCCTGAGAAGACAGGCCTAATAGACAAATCCTATAAAAATCTGGAAAGAATGAATTTATACATACTGGTGTATAAAAGAATTATATTTCAAATTCATCCTGATTAAATTACACTGGAGATGATGAATGCAGATTTTTTACGTCTGCATCATTTGGTAAATTTTTCTTTAAAAAAAAAAAAAATTATTACCTAAGGTGAGTTGGAAGAAATGAAGAGTAGGGTAACAAATATTTACAGATGGCACAAAAACTGTGAGGAATTCTCATTATGGGAAAAAAAAAAACAAACACAACAGCTTAAGACAAGCAGATTTGCTACAAGGTGCAAAATAACAAAATAAAGTGCAAATTTGGCAAATACAAAGGTACGTTTCTACAGAAAAATGAGCCCAAACTTCATTATACAACAGTGACTTGAATTTTACTGTGCTGAGAACCCACAAAGAAGAAATGCCAAAGAAATTGTAAGTTCTAGTTTCAATTTGCTTTGACTTTGATAACAGCATTTGATCCTTAAGAAGTTTCATCTGTCCACTTGGGTTAATTAAAAACTCAAAGAGTCACCAACAAAGCAACCAAGTTTCTTTCCAGTTCTGTTTACTACCCTGTATAAAATGAATGGCCATCTTCACATGTGCCTGGGACACAGTGTTGCCAGCCAAATAAAGAAAAACTCCATGAGGCACAGTTTTTCAGGCAGCAGAAAAAGGTCATGGTAATTTTTACTGCTTATAAACCATGTCACAAAGCAGAGCTAATGCAGTACATTTGTTTCATGGCAGTTAAAAAATTTTTCTCTACCTGCTGAAATCTATACAACTGCATTGACATGAATACTACTTGACATAGATTAACTTCTGCTGATTCACCAGGGTCAGGATTTCCTCCTCAACAAAGAATTAAACAAACTCTGTCAGTGGGAAAGAATTATCTACAAGGAACAATGTACTAGCACTGCAAATATCAGGAAAAATTTCCTGAAGTGAGATCCATCAGAAAAATAAGGACACTTTCTCAAGGAAAAAGATGAAAAATCTAAGTTTTTTTTTGAACGTCTATCTGGACATACACATAAAACATTCACCTCTTTCAATTTTCTTAAAACAAACGGTGGATTCAGTACTGCTATAATGAACAGTTTGCCTAAAATCTTTTGAAGTCTCTAGTGCATTTTCACTTGTCACTGATATGCATAATACATTCATTCTCTTCTCAGTTAAAGGTTTCTCAAAATAATATAACCTATTTCCTTCTCTTAATAAAATATTATTTTTCCAGAGTAATGTTTCTTTAACTGCAGTCTCAGAAATATATACACATATAAAGAATGGGAAAACATGAAGATGATAAATATAACTCATAATTATTAGAGAAGTTGCAATGGTTACCTCCAGTAAGATGTGTGATGACTGAAAGTGTTCATATGAAACAATTATCAGCCAAATAAACTGTGATTTAAATTTTTCAAACTTACCATAAGAAGTCTATCTCCAACCTGCAACCTCCCATCTTTCTGTGCAGCTCCTCCATCAATAATCTTGGTGACATAAATGCTATTGTCCCCAGGGATGTGTTGGTTTCCAACCCCTCCTGCAATACTGAATCCCAGACCTGGAGAAGATAGAGAAAACAAGACATCAGCAATACAGTACGTAACATCAAAAAGCAGTGCAAGAGTAGAATCATAGAATTACGGACTTACTAAGGTTAAAAAAGTCCTCTAAGATCATTAAGTCCAACCATCAACCCAATGTTACCACGACCACTAAACTGTGTCCTGAAGTACCATATCCACACATTTTTCTTAACCAGGCATGATGACTCCACCACCTCCATGGGCAGTGTGTTCCAATGCTTCATCATTCTTTCAGTAAAGAAATTCTTCCTAATATCCAATCTGAACCTCCCCTGGTGCAACTTAACTCCATTTCCTCTCGCCCTATCGCTAGTTAAAATATATAATAGAGACTTATTTAGAATATATGTTAGCGTATATTCAATCTAGTATATAATTACAGTATGTTTTACAGAAATGCAACAGATATTTGTGGGGTCAGTACTCTTTCACTCTTCCTATAAGGTCAGGGATAGAAATAAATTAAGGAAATTCTTTTGTCATGTATGATTATAGGAAGGTAGAGACAAAAAAGGATCAAACCAGTGATGATTCTATACCCATCGCTTGCCCTGGCCAGGGGCCAGCACAGCCTATGTCAAGACCTCATGGCACAACTTGCCATGACAAGTCAAACTCTGAAGCTTGGAGTTTATTTTGTTAAATATTGGTATGAAATACACCACCATCTAACAGAACAAAATTAAAGGTATTCTGACTGTCCATAGAATTTGAAAAATACTTGGAGAGGTCTACTGCAGATTTTGCACGGTTTTGCAATACACAATGAAAGGTCTGTGAAAGTGAAAGATAAATGGTGTAGATATGGTGCATTTAAAACTGCTTCGCACATTTTTTTCTAGGACACAAATGTCTTTGGCTATGGATACATAAATAAGAAAGCAATAGTCCTTTGTACATAAATAACTTCTGTTCAGTGATCTCTGAAATTCCTAGATAAATATCCTAAGAACTAAACTTTGGAACAATGGCAATAATACATGCCTATAGGATTCAAGAAAAGGAAAGCAAAATAAACAGATGTTGGGGGAAGGAAAAAAAGACAGTTTTATCCTTTTTTTTTTTTTACCTTTCCTATACTCTGACATATTGTATAAACAGACAAATCATTGCTTTCATTTATAATAAAATTTTTATCTCTCAATCAGAAAAAAAAAGACAGAAACTACTGTGCTTTATTTCCATAAAAATCTACTTAATACATCTAATTTTCTTCATAGATCATGTAGATAATTGGAACTTCCAGCTGAATAAATAACCTGCTTAGATCATTGTTTCAACTAGGCATTTCCCTTTTAGCTGTACAGAACAAATAGTTACATCTATTTAAAGAATAATCACTGGTTTTATCTATGAAATCTATGCTGTTCGGTCATTCTTAAAACAAATATGTTAGTAATAGATGGAGCCTGAGCAGTAAAATATAGTAGTAAAAGATCAGTTGACTGGAATTTGGTACTTTATCACACATTCACAAACCTGACTGCTTGGGCATTAAAACTGAAGGGAGAGTATATTTAATACACACAGGGGTTTTTTTTTTAGAAGCTCTATGAGTAAAGATATGGTTTTTTTTTTTTTTCAGTGAATTAAATATATATTTATCACATTGTTCTAATTTGATCATTATTTTAGCTTGAAGAAGATGCGAGGTCAGACAACATAATGGACTACTTAATGGGTATTGCCAAACTAGTAAATTACAAAAAGAAACTTCTAAATTTATATCTCAAATTGAAACAATACTCAATTAATTAAGATGACTATTAGCAATACACATGAAGTTAATTCAGAAGTATGGGATAATTAAAATAAAGCTTTATTTAATTTCCAACTAAAGCTGGTGATCACTGTTACTATTTATACACTACTGCCAGGACAACTATAAGGATAAAAAGATGATGATTTCTTCAGCATAGAAAAATTTATTCATTATACTGGGACTACTAACAAGGTAGCAAGAAGATATTCTAAGAAAGCATCAGAAATGGAATTTTTTTTTTTTTAAAACGTTGGCTGTGCACAAGGAACAATGACTGAATAACGTTCCTTGGTGACATAATTATCATCCTTTGGACCCAAAAAACATCTGCATATGCTTCTACCAGTTAAGTGAAGATCTGAGAGTATTCCAGAATGATGATAAGAGCAAAAGCGTGAGCTTTCTTCAGCTTCACTACTCACCTAGGGCATGACCTCAGGAAAATTATGCTATGCTTCCATCCTCTTCTCTCTCCTCTATTAACATTGTATGCTTGTAAAGGGCCAGGTCATTTCTGGTCACACAGCTGTATTTTGTGCAAAGGGCTTCCTTATTCAGAAGGAATTGTCCTGCTGCAATATAAGCAAATAGTAGCAGAGATAATCCCTTCCATTTTCTGCAGCGCTGAGTAGGGTGCCGGTGTTTGCTGTTTGTTTGCATGGTTCTATCACAACGGATGTATGAACCCCCACAAAAAAAAACTCAAGCACTGATGAGTGCTACTCCCATTACAAAAATGAAGTTTATAATGAGGAAAGGAGTCACTTTTCCTGCTTCTTTAATCCACAGAAAATGTAGCTGTGTTACAATGCACGAGGCTATATTGTGTTTGTAAGCAGGGTCTGCCTTTGGGAACCAAAAAACAGCACTGACTATAAAAAGGTTTAAAAGAACAGAACAAGATAGGGAGAGTGGGTAAGAAAGACAACTGACGAAGAGATTTTCCACATCTTTCCTATGGATAATGATTTAGTTTCATTGCCTATTCACACTTTCCTTCTTTAAAAGACTTCTTGGGAAGAATGGGCAACGGAAAAATGGCCCATTTAATTTGACTTAAATGACTTGTTACTAATTACTAGGGGACTAGGAAAGTATACTACAGTAAAACTTTCCAGTAGGATTCGGATGGCCAAATGACATCAGACAACTATGCTAGTCACTTATGCTACGTTCATAATCAGTGATAATTCATTAAGGGCTTTTAAGGCATGATTCATCTCATCTCAAAGAGACATCTGAAAGAGATGGGATGAATCACTCTTGGTTTCTGAAGGGCTGGGGGCTGGGTGTGGGAAGAGGTGGGTGGGAAGATCAGTTTTGTAAAAGTCACAACCTGAGAGCCTCACTTTCGTTAGGGCTAAAGGTTTTAAGACCTCAGAAAGATTTGTGAATCTCTGTTGTTGATCCTTCTTTTCAATAGGTAGATCAGGTTGGTTTCATATCACATTCTTACTCGGTTTTAAAAACAGAATCATTGGAACGTTTGGGAACACAGGGAGCATGACATGTTTTCTGAACTTTTTTCATAGCTCCATTGAATTATAAAAGATCAAAGTAAAATAGCATATTTTGTTGTAAAACTTTTCTCTTATTGAATCTTGTGGTTAGGAAAACATTGCCATCAGAACGCAGGAGATCAGGAGTTGCTCTGAGGAAAGTCTTCACTCTCACTTCCTATTTTGCTATCGTGCTTCACAGCAACACCTCAGCTGGGACAGAGCACCCAATTTCCTTACAACGGGAATTAGACAGATAGATAGCTTTAGAAGGGAGATAAGGAGGAATTCTTTTACAATGAAGGTGGTGAGACACTGAAACAGGTTGCCTAGAGAAGCTGTGGAGGCCTATCAATGGAAGTAGTCAAGGTCAGGTTGGATGGGGCCTTGAGCAACCTGATCTAGTAAAACCAGGGTTGGACTAGATGACCTTTAAAGGTCCTTTGCAACACAAACCATTCTACAATTCAGTGCTTCTGTGAGAAAGAGAAGACTACTCCAAGAGGAAACATGAAAGAGATCTGAATTTAATATTGGTGTCCATCCAAGTCAAATTCAGCTTTGTTCAGAACCACTGCAGAGAATAGGCACATTTAAGATTGGGTCAGCATGTGAATTATGGAAGATTAATCAAACTCTATTTCCTTCTATTACCACTGGACAGGTGTTTGTAAAACTTATCTGCCTTTGCGTCCCAAAAATGCTACTCACTGATCCTGTAGATAATAGCGTGTGCAATAGTGGAACAGGACAGGAGACATTACTGTTATCACAAAGAAAGAGCTATTCCATTAAAACTGGAAATTGCAAAAGAAATGCTGAAGTCAACAATAGTGAAGGATTCATATCTTCCCTGGATTATCAGTAAAGAAAACATCAAAATATATGAAAGTGTAGCGAAGTCATAAAGAAAAAAAAATTGCGGCCAAACCAATTCAAAAGCATCTCAAGTCTCAATGATAGCTACTTCAGAAATAGTTAACCAGTGACTGTTTACATCTATTTTGAATTATTTGCTGCACCAGTGTTTTACCACTGACCAGGCCCAACAAAAATGATACCACCACCAGCAGGAAGATGAACCAATACACCGACTGTATTGTAGACAAGAAGGACATTGCATGAACGATCGCTGGGGGTACAAACAGATCAATCAGCTGGTACATAACTGACATCACCCCCAATGATCTCACAAAAGACATAACTCGGCCCACAACAGGTGGTACAAACAGAGACCCGAGGTTGCCCACAGTTGGCAGGGGAAACAGCCAGACCAGCAAGCTGAACACATAAGAGAAAGGTGCCTACATGGTGACTCTCACCCGATCAGCCCGTGTTCGCAAAGGTCTTAAGCAGACTGGGGCCCAGCTCCAGGGAGAGTCAGGAGGTCTGCCCTGACCCAGGAAGCTCTGTGGAGTGCACTCCACAGACAGACACTCCTGACTCCCTGCAAGTGGTCCCAGCTTTTATCCCCAAGCAGACACCTGACCTTTGTCAACTCCATGCGGGACCCCTGGGGCTCATTTCCCTTATGGGTCTCCCTGCAGGGCCGGCTGCACCCTGGGGGGAAGCTATAAGGCAAACTCACCACCTCTTTATGAAGGGCTGTGGGAATCACCCATATGTCAACTTAATTCAGGGCTCGGGGTTCAGACCCCAGCATTTCAACCAGATGCAGTTTTTAAATGCATCACTATGCTAGTAAAAGCATATC